CACACCCACACCCACACCCACACATGTAAACGCGTTCATAATACCTTAGGTTTTCGAACAGATATATATATTGGTTTGGAAACTTTAACACGTTGTGAATACATGAAAATGTATACTTGTTACGATTTTATTTTCATTAAAATTTTTGCAGCATTTTTTTTTGTTCGTCTGACTGGAATGAAAAAGAAATAGAATAATTTAATTTATAATTTTTTACATTATAAATTCAGTATAAATAATTTATATGTATTTTATATTAATACCCTACTATTGGGAGCATGAAACAAAAATTGTTTTGGCAACATGTATTTGATAAAAGTTGTTGTTAGTCAACTTTCTGTTTTTTTTCTTCATAGTAGTCCTTCAGTTAAGTGTTGTTTTTCATTATTCATACTGTGATGATGGAAAGGGGGAGATCTTGAATATGTCTTGTAGATTGGAATTGAATCGATTCTTTAAAAAAAGTATAAATATAATATTCAAATGGTTATTCATACAGATGATATTCATGTAGAAATTCTTCATCGTATTAAACAATATTTCAATGTGAATATACAAAGTTATATAAACCATCAATAACATTGATTTATTTTCGAACTTGTTTTCTTTTATTGTAGCAATTTATTTTTTTTTATTAGGGCGAAGTACTAATTCAATAGATTATACATTTATTTATTTATTTTTTTGTTATTCAACATCAATAAACTTTCATAAAGAGTTTAGTAAACTTATAGTTCGCAGACAGAAGGTCTATATTCATCAGGAAAGCAACTTTGTGACAATAGTATTGAGTATACAATAAAATATCGAATCATCACTGTTTACGAAAGATACTTGACAAAAAAAGATCAAGCATTTCTAGTGGATGCGGTACCTCCAAAATTATTCATGTAACTATACTGAGTTCATTTGATGCTTTCTGCTATTATAAAATCATCAAAAATGCAGATCTTGATACATTGCATTCAGTAGACAATACCAATAATCTAGATGAAAACAAAAAAATTTGCTTTGACTCATTTTTTTTTGTCGATAAAATAACAAGATATGGTGAACAAATTATTTTTCAATCTAATGAATTTTTAATATTTAACTTTTTTCTTTCGAAGTAAAACAATTGATTTTCATTCTATTTAATAAAAACCTTGCAAATTAATTTATTTGACTAATTCTCATATTTCAACAAAAGGTTAAAAGAATACTGTTGAAATTTCGTCCTTTAATAAAAATTGACAATACGTAATAGAATTTTTCAAGGTTTATTGAGTAATGTTGTTTTTAATCAAGTGGCAAGTGCATATGCGACATAAGAGTAACTATAAAAATTTATTTTAATAGTAACGAGAATTAGTAAAAGGATTATATCAATATTGAAAAACATAGACTATCAAAATGATAGAATTTACATTTGCAGAAAAACTACAAAAGTAAATTCTAACTTTATGTTGCATAGATGCTGACATTGTGCAAGTGCACTTTTAGCATGATTTCTCATAGTGACAATATAATGTAACTATGGAGTGTTTTTTTTTCCATTCTTCGTATAGCATACATCGATAGTATTTCATACTAGGAAACTAATATATACATTCCATGGTTACACCATATTGTTACTATTAAATAATGTTAAAAATGTAATCACACAATGTTAGTATCTATGCAACATAAATTCTTTTCATTTTGATATTCTATTCTTTTGCGATATTGATATTGTAGTTTACTGTTGTTAAAACAAATTTTAATATTGTTTGTGTTGCACCCAGCAACAAATGCATTCATTTGAAAATGAACTATTTCAACTTATACAAAGAAAAGCAATAGAACGCAATTTTTTTTTCCAATCATGAATAACAAACAGAGAGTCACTAAGGATACTTACATATCAACAAGAAAGCATTCTATAAAAGCTATATAAGGCATGACAACTTCTCTAGGAGAAAGAGAAAAAAAGTTACAAAGCAACGCTTCGATTCGTATTATACAAACACTTGAACACAAGCACAAATGATAAATTAGAGTATTAGATTTCTATTATAATTCTTTTTAAATTGAGAAAATTTTTTATTTTCGTATCATTTTCAAATATATGTAGAAAAAATTCTACATAGATCTTTGACTTTCTTTAGACTCTATTTTTTAACATAACATAACCGATTTAATTAAGTTTTTAAATTATTTTTCAAATTAAACGACCGTAAAAATAGAATCTACATCTGATTCGAAAAGCGATATTACGTAGATAATAGAAGTTAATCTAATATAGACACGTATTTAAATGAAAGAAACTTATTTGTCATACTCTCGATTCAATTCGCTATGTTCTTTGGTTTTTATTAAAATATTCGAATTGAATTGATTCTTTTTTTTGCTATTGAATAGAATATTGAAATAATAAAATGAGAAGACCATCTCAAGCTGTTACTGATTCAGGCGCTCGAACACATGACAATATAGTGAGAGCACAGCCTTATAATGCAGCACCAATTGGTTACTGTGCTTTTGCCTTAACATTATTTGTTTATTCAATGATCATGGCTGGTGCAACTGTTCCTATCTCAACTTCACCTGCTATAGGAATGGGTCTTGCACTTTTCTATGGTGGTTTGATTCAATTTCTTGCTGGTTTATTTGAATTACGTATAGGAAATGATTTTAAGGCACTTTTGTTTTGTTCTTATTCTGGTTATTGGTTTGGACTTGGTGCACTTTATGCTAGTACATTTAGCTTTGCTAGTGGCATAGATACAAGTGTAATATATCAATCATTAGGTGTTTATTATCTTGGATGGACAATATTTACATTATGTATGTTAATTGCATGTATTCGATCAAATGCACTTTTGGTAGTATTTTTCTTCTTTTTACTATTAACTTATATATTATTTACAGCAAGTTATTATTGTTCATGGGATCAAAATTTATCACGTGCAGGAGGAGCTATTGGAATATTTACATCAGTAATTCTTTGGTATATAGGATTTGCAAGTTTCATGGTAAAAGGTGATAATTCATATTTCACTTTACCAATGGTTGATTTACCAACAAAGCCAAGACCAGGTGCAAATCAAGCAGGGCCAGTTGAACGTGCACAACCAAGAGCATAAACAAAAAAACTCAAATATAAGACTGATTTTTTTTTTTAGATTACAATTTTTTTTTTCACTAACATTTTCATTTCACTAACATTTTTGATCACATAATCCTGCTCATTCCATTTAAATCACCAATTATGTTAGCGTCAATAGAGGTCACTCTATTACCGCTAACTTTCCAGTTGTGTTCTATCGGATTATCCTCCATTTTCTAAATGGTCAGTGTGTGTTTTTCTCTGGACATTCCAGTGAGTATCTGTGGTAACCGTTTAAGGGAATCCAACGGTTTAAGGGAAACAGTGTAAAATGAATAGAGGCCACATTGGAGTTCTAATGGCCGACCAATGAGCTTCAGTTTCAGTAAAATATGGAACATCCATACTTTACAGACTCTGAATCCTATTGGTCCGCCATGAGAGCTCTACTGTGACCTCTATTCATTATACACTGTTTCCCTTAAACCGTTGGATTCCCTTAAACGGTTACCACAATTATCCTTCTGGTTGTTTTTTCTCTTCAGGTGTTGTTAAATCTTTCTCCCCGGTGGTCGCAAGTTGTTTTTCTCTTCCCTTATCTTTTCCCCTCTTTCATATTATTCATCATTATATTATTATATGTTCATTGTTATATTCATATTAATAAACCTATATATATATTCAACACATTCATCTCATTATCAACATAACCAAAGTCAGTATGCTTATTTACTTTATTTACGTATGAACTCTCGTTCCCGTTGCAGACCGGGATTAAATATACTGATCATCTAGCCAGAACCAATAGTGTGAGGCTAGAATCATAATTTCCCCAAACGAGAGTCTTACAAATTATTGTCTTCTTTATCTTTTTGAATTAGTTTATTTTTTGTTGTTTTTTTTGTTACGATGAAGTTTTTTCTTTATCTAAGCAACAATACAATCATCGCATCACATTAAATTTTTTAGTGAAAAAACAAGACAGATATTTTGACATTGATTAATTGGAGCTAATATATTGTGATAAAATATAGAAAAATATCACGTATTAAAATTAATACAACAAAGAAAGTTTTATTACAAAAACGAAATATATATATTACGTCATATGGAATAAAGCCAAGTTCGAATATAATGTTTTATTGACCTTGATCAATAATAACAAATATATAAGTTGAGTTCAAAAAAAGATTACAGAATGAAAGAAAAAACAATAAAGATTATATGTGTACTTTTGGTGTACTGACAAGACAGAACGAAAAAGAAATAGAAAAACAACAGAAACGAAAAGAAAGAAATAAAAAATAATAATAGTGAATGTCACTACATCACACAAACTTTATACGTCCAAGATAGAGCTCCTCGAATAGGTACTGAACCGATCAATCGATACTACTCTAAAAACTAAGAGTCAATCATAACTTAACACTTATAAGATCACTGTCAAGACTGTTTGAGAAATGTGCAGAGTGTACGAATCGACGAAAACAAAAAAGTATCGCCTACCTTTGGAGCGACTATCAGCTTCGTATTAAAAGATTTAATTGAGAGTATTAATGTAGTATGATCAGAGTCTAGAAATTAGAGACCCAACAGGCTCTAGTCTAAGGTGCTAGGATTTTTCTTCACATGGACTAGGGATGCAACGGTGACGATTAATCGTTAACCGCTCTACCGTTATTAACGGTGAACGGTGAACCGAACAACCGGTGAACCGGGGCCCGGTGGACCGATCAAACAGGTGAACGGGGGCCCGGTGGACCGATCAAACCGGTGAAACGGGGCCCGGTGGACCGATCAGACCGGTGAACCGGGCCCCGGTTTTAGTGCATATTGGCCATACTCCTAGGTCCTCATATAGTATATATTGGGGGACCCCCAATATATACTATATGAGGACCCAAGGCTATGGGTGGGAGGTTACCGTTACCAGGCCGTTCCGTTCCCGAGTAACGATAACGGTAACGGCCCGTTGCCAGTTACCTGGGAACGGGGTAACGGAAAATGCTCTCCGTCCTATTTTCTTTACAAAAATTGTTTTTGAAAAATCTTTTGGTAAACAAACTTTTTTGGTAAACAAAATTTTTTACAACAAAATTTTGGGGTGTTTTCGAAAAATATTATTTTTTCTAGGGGTGGCACTTTAAACTTTAAAAACACTTTAACTTTAATTAAAGTGCTTGGGTCATGCCATACTATAGGGGTACCCTTAGGTCCTCAACTGCTATCCTATAGGGGTACCCTTGGGTCCTGACGTGCTACTATAGGGCGGTACCCTTCAGTCCTTAACTGCTACTAGAGAGGGGTACCCTTGGGTCCTCAAGGACAAATGCCCAGGCTCTGTTTCGTCGTGTTGCACTGAGTGGGGACCCCAACATATACCCATCAATCGATAGAGCATCCTCGATAACCCTGTGATCGGCCCGAACATGCCTATATGTTCTCCGTATAATAAGGGAGAAAAGGCCTACTGAAATCTGATTGGTCGAAAAATAGACCAATCAGATGGCGAGTTTTTATTTTTCAGTGTTGGGAGTAGGGGTGTCGTATTAGCATTAAGTTAAAAATAATGCTAATACTTTTGCATTAGCATTAACAGTTAATACTAATGCTTTAGCATTAATGGCATTAGAGTTAATTAATGCTTACTACCAACGACAAAACGACTGCGAATCGTATTTTTGATAGATATTTTCATTAATAGTAAACCACGAAAAATATAGTTTTTCAGAAAATTTTTTCGTCGAGAGGGCTTTGTAGAGCTCGTTTCGCTGATCATTTTGGTAAAAAAAATTCAAGTTTACCCAATAAATAAGGGAGCTTCGATCGAAATATTGAAAACTTTCGACTGGTAGTAACCGCTGCTGAGTCGTAGTTGATATTTTTTTTAGTATTTCGATCGAAGCTCCCTTATTTATTGGGTAAACTTGAATTTTTTTTTACCAAAATGATCAGTGAAACGAGCTCTACAAAGCCCTCTGGACGAAAAAATTTTCTGAAAAACTTATATTTTTCGTGGTTTACTATTAATGAAAATATCTATCAAAAATACGATTCGCAGTCGTTTTGTCGTTGGTAGT